GCGCGTGGCGGCAATGGAGGCTGCGGAGGCGACGGCGACGGAGACGGAGTGTGGCTTTGGACGAGAACGTGGGCGCGTTCGACAACTCAAAGGATATTTTTTTTGTCAGTGGTGGGCCTCCAGCTTGCGCTGAAGGTACCTGCTGGCATGGCGGATTCACTCGCGAGAGTGACGTCGTTATGAACCGACGGCGTTGAGAGACGTGGGCGGAATAAATTATAATTACTTAATTACCTTTTCATTCACTGACTAGCGCTCTAGGCACACAATCCAACAAACACACGTGAATTTTCGCAAAGTTTTACAACTGTGAGGCCAGCAGAGATACATACTTGCAAACTGAGCTGACTATTCTCATGTAAATATATTTATTTGAGTGCGAATAAATGCACTTTCAAGAGTAATTAGAGCAATGACGGGGATTGATTATGGTAATCACTTTTCTGCGACATGATGCTGTGTAGGTTCTTTGGCCGAGCGGTTAAGGCGTGGCACTCGAAATGCCATCAGGTTCAAAAATCTGCAGGAATCGGTTATTACCGTTTCCCCAGGCGGGCGATCACGTCTGTCTTTTCCTCAACGCGCGCTTGCCTTTCTCTCGCGATCATTTTACCCTTCTCCAGGTGGTCACCATCTAATGTTTTTCTCATCGCGAGCTTTCATCTTCTCTCGCAAAGCCCATCATCTTTTATTAATTCGTCTGCTTCTATTTTGCTTATGGTATATTATTTATTCCGCCCGCGTCTCTCAACTCCGTCGGTTCATAACGACGTCACTCTCGCGAGTGAATCCGCCGTGCCAGCAGGTACTCTCAGCGCAAGCTGGAGGCCCACCACTGACAAAAAAAGCATTTGAGTTGCCGAACGCGCCCACGTTCTCATCTAAAGCCACACACCGTCGCCTCCGCAGCCTCCATTGCCGCCGCTGCCACCGCCGCAGCCGCCGCCGCCTCCCCCGCCGCCGCCACCTCGGCCTCCTTACCTGCCGAGACTGCCACGCCGCTGCCGCCACCGCCGCCGCAGCCATATCATACACCGAAGCGCGCGTCACAGAACAGCACTCATGAATCAATAACGACCAACCAATGTCATTTCTCTTTTTCGATCTTTTGCTTCACCGCTCTTACAGGACTGCGCATCCGCGCTGTGTGTGTCTCACCATGTCATTGTCTCACCGTGTCTCACCGTGCCTCAACCTTGGAGTCGTCATGGTCATACAGTAGTTTGTGCCGGGGCGAAGTCGCGGCAACGGCAGCCAACGGCAGGCAACGGCAGCCAACGGCAGGCAACGGCATAAACGGCATAAAGGCAAGCGCTACGGGTCTTGGACGGTTCGTCAAAGAGCAAAAGTTTCGGTTCCATTAGGCGGGTCTTGGACGGTTCGTCAAAGAGCAAAAGTTTCGGTTCCATAAGGCGGGTCTTGGACGATTCGTAAAAGAGCAAAAGTTTCGGTTCCAGTAGGACTTGAACCTACGCCTCGTACGAGAGTTGATTTCTAGTCAACCGCCTTAACCACTCGGCCATAGAACCTTTCCTGGTGTGAGAGCTGTAATAGTTTCAAAATTTCTTAGCATTCAAATTATAGCTCCTTTGCGCAAAGTTGCGCGGTGTCATGCCCCAGGAAGTCGTGCGCGGCATTTTACACCCCTATATGACCGCCAAGGTGAGCAGGGCTACGTGCGAGCCAGACTCACTCTGGGCGTGCTCTTCCTCCGAACGGGGCTGCGGGAAGGGCACCGCCGGCCACGCCCGAAGAGGCGGCTCGATTCCTCGACCAGCTTTCCAGCACGCACGACTGCCGCGACAAACTCCCGGGAACTCGCTTTCGAATGAGCTTTTTGGACCACAACCTGTAATTCAACCACATCTCCTTCAATCTCCCTCCCGGAGCTTTGAGTGCGGAGCACGCAGCGCGGCAGCGCGAAGCATGCAGCGCGGAACATGCAGTGTGGAACACGCAGCGCGGAGCCACGACGTGCGGAGCACCCAGCACGGAGCCATGCAGCGCGAGCCCGTCTTCCTTTGAAGTAAGTCGTAGTTTAAAATCTCGGCCGGTGCAGCACTGGCCGGCGAACGCGGAGGGCCGCTGCGGGCTGTTGGGATGCCGCCCGCCAAGGCGATTGCGCGAGCACACTTGCCCACGGGCGACCTCGCGGCGCTCTACCCGACGCCCGGCGGTGGCAAGGTCGCTGTGCTCGCAACTCGCCAGTCACACGAGCGCGAGCGGGCGGCCCTCGTGCGCTTTGCGCTTCGCAACGCCAAATCGCCCGTGCTGGGCAAAGAAAAGTTCGAGGGCGCGGGCGGGGTGGCGCTCCTCTCGCGCCTGCGCGTGGACGAGCTGCTCCGCCGGATCGAGGAGGGGCAGCCGATCGACCTGGGTGCCGCGAGCGAGGCGGCTGCGCTCTTCTGGCCGGCTGAGGCGGCCGCATCCTCCTCCGCAAACGCGGCGGAGGGCACGACGCTGCGCCCGATGGTGGGCGCAGGATTGTTAGCCGCGCTCGAGGGGGACTTTGGTTCGACTCCTTTGAGGGGCAGCGCCGGCATCAGCGGCGGCGGCGGCAGTGGTGATGGCGGTGGCGGCCGGGGGGGCGGCGGTAGTGAGCGTACGCGGCTGATGGTAGTGGCAGCCTACGAGGAATTCGTGAGGTGCATCAGCGCCCGGACCGAGCCGGACACGCTCCGGACCATGCGCACGCAGCTCGGCGTCGCCACGCGCGAGCACGCGCTACTTGCTGCTGTCTCCACCTCGGACGCAATTCGCAGATCGGACGCACCGAGGGGGTCGCTGCTCTACAGAGCGCTGCTCGCGCACGAGCGCGCGCCCTCCGACTTCGAGGCGGGGCCCAAGGCGTTCGTGCCCTGGCTGGAGCGGCAGCTGCTCGTGCTGGAGGTGGGGCTGGACGAGTGGCTGTGCAACAACTCGCAGTTGCCTCCGCACGAGATCGCCTCGAGGCGGCGCCAGCTGCGCGCTCTGCTGCACGAGGTACTGCTCAATTTAAAAGTGTATTATAATGCAGCAACCCAATCCAACACCCCGCGTGCGTCTTCCTGCCCCTACGTCTCGTACGTTTTTTTTTTATTTTTATATATATATTATATATATATATATATGTATATATTATATAATTATTTTAATGCTTCTACACCGATCCCGTGATCATATGAATTAGTATTGCAATACTCCCCTTGCGATTTCCGTTTTCCCTGTCCACCACTTGCACCTGTTTTGGTGGATGTGCTCGGCACACACGGTATTCGTGTGTCATGCAAAGGGCCCTTGATCCGAGTGTTTCTCAACACTTGGGTCCGGTGGAGACCTGTCAGGGGACGGATGTATTTCTAGATATTTACACACAAAGGCACGCGCTAACGGGCCACACTCTTTGCTACGCAACACTACGCTATGCTGCCGTGATCATACTTTGCCATGCTACCGCTATGCTACGCTACCGCTCTGCTAAACTACCGCTATGCAGCACTTTCTTGTGATTGCGACGCTACCTTTTTTTATGATAGTTATCTTAACGTCCCCCGACTTGCAGCCCGAAGGCGTACGGGCATGACATGCTACCGCTCTGCTATGCGTTGCCATGCTACACTGCAGGTGCGTGCAAGCAGAGACGGCCAGGGTACTGACCCCCCTACCCCCCCATCCTCGCAGCCTCTCGACGTGGCGCGTGGCGCGGCGAGTGGCGAGCTTGGAGGGGGCCTGGGGGGCGGCTACGGGCGCCCGCACGATCTGGTGGGCGGTGGCAAGGAAGTTTACTCCTCGGGAGACGCGCCTTGGTCGCTGGAGACGGCGGGGGCGTACATGGCGGCGACTGCGAGGCTCTCAGCCACAGTGAGTCCACACGCGCACACACACGCACACACACACGCACGCACACATACACACACACACCTCTTCTCCTTCACCTGCGAGGCTCTCGGCCACGGTGAGCGTTATTCTTCTTCTTATCATTATTATAATTGTTACTATTCTGTTTATTATTATTTATACTGCGAGGCTCTCAGCCACAGTGAGCGTTATGATGACGATGAATATGAGTTACACTAGTACAGCTTGTCCTCCTTGCCGACTCACCCCCCCCTTGTGACTAGGTGTTGGACATGCGTGCGCGCGGCTTCTTCTCCGAGGGGGGCAGCGGCAGGTGAAACATTATTATGTGACATATTATAAATAATAATTAATAATAGCACACTATAATTTAATAATAATAAACGTTGATGATTGGAAAATTTTATTTTCATGTGACATGTCACGCATTATTAAAGTGATTACTTATTGGCAGAATAGAATGAATTCTTCTCAGAGGGGGGCAGCGGCAGGTGAGATGCTCAAGCCCTAACCAATGGCCATGGCCCTAACCCAAACCCCGACGTTAACCTAATCCCTAACCCTGGCCCTAGCCCTTAGCCCCAACCCCAACTAACCTCAACCCCAACCTTCTCAGAGGGCGGCAGCGGCAGACGAGACGCTCCTAATATTCTTTTATTTGTGCGTGGGGACTATCGCCTTTGGCCCCTTTAGGTGGGCACCCTTTGGTTAAGTCGGTTTGGCCCCGCAGGCTCTCTGAGTAACCAGGTTCAGGGGGGGCGGTATCTGTGTGCTCGGGGAGTGGTACTGGATTCACGTCCGGGAGACCGTCTTCAGGGACAGACGTCCTAATCAAAAATCCTTTCCTTTTTACTGTGCCTGGCCGTCTAGCTGTCCAATCATTCGAGCTGGTCTGAGCGCTGTCTATAAATAAATCATATAATTGAGTAGGCCTCAGCTCTGCCCACCGCGTCTGTCGATTGCGCTGCTGCTGGCGGTGGAATCGGGAGCGTACGACATCGAGACGCCCGGGCTGCTGCTGTACAACGCGAAGGCGCTGCAGGTGCGTTATGACGCCCCCCCCTACGCCAAGATGCACCCCCCCCTCTCCCCCCCCACGACCTACAACGCTACAGGTGCGTTATTGTTCAACCCCCCCTCCCCCTTCCCTCGTCACCCCCCCCCCTCCCCCCCCTTGCAGACTATAACAAGGCTCGTCTCCTGGTTCAGGTAAACCCCAACCCCCAACCAACCCCTAACCCCCCCCCCCCTCCCCGTAGCGCACCGCCTCCGAGTTTGTATATCCAACTCCCGTCACATATCATATACAACTCCCGTCACAAATCATATACAACTCCCGCCACATATCATATACAACTCCATTACATATAGCGCGCCGCCTCCGAGTTTGGCAAGTTGCTCGCCTCCTCCTCCTTCCCTCGTCACTCCCCCCCCTCCCCCCGTAGCGTGCGGCCTCTGAGTTTGGCAAGTTGCTCGGGGTCGGTCCTCTTGTCTACTCCTCTCTCCCCCCCTCCTCACACATATATTAATTATTTTAGTTTATTCTATTTTATTAGCACGCGGCCTCTGAGTTTGGCAAGTCGCTCGGGGTTGGTCCTCTTGCCCCCTCCTCCCCCCCTCCCCCTCCTCACACATATATTAATTAGTTTAATTTATTCTATTTTATTAGCGCGCGGCCTCCGAGTTTGGCAAGTCGCTCGGGGTCGGTCCGGCGTTGCGCGCTGCAGTGCGACTCGCAGCCGCCGCGGCACAGGTGCGCTCTTTCTTCATGTATTTATTTATATGGCACAGGTGCGCTCTTGTGCTGCTGCGCTTGCTGTTGCTGCTGCTGCTATTTACTGATACTAAATAAGATAGATACATTCATGAAGATAGACTCGCAGCCGCCGCAGCACAGGTGCGCTCAATACAGTCTATCTCTATGAATGCATTAAAAAAACTGACTCGGCGCAGGCGCGCAAAAATCAAACGCTAATACTTGACAACTTCAGACTCTTTGTCTTCTTGCCTTTTTGACTGCGCTAAAACACCAACACTCACTTTTGACTTTTGAGTTCTGATTTTTGTTTTTGTTTATCTCTTGCCGAAATAGCTCGATGCGGCTGAGGTGCGCGCGAAGGCACATGCCAGCGGAGCAGCCCCGGACGAACTGCCCGACTTTTTAAACGAGGGGGGAGGGGCGGACGGGGACGGGACGAGTACGGCCTGGGCGGCGGTGGCGAAAGCTGCGGCTCGCTTCGCAAAGGTTAGGCAGATCCGTATGATTTATGTTCATATTTATAAGAGAGAGTTCTAGTCTGTGCGGCGGTGGCGAAAGCTGCGGCTCGCTTTGCTAATGTGTGCTATATAGTATATTCTTTGGTGGGCTACCCTCCTAATTTGAGACCCCTGGGTAGGAGTCTGGCGCCCTTTCCTATTGAATACAATACCCATTTGCAATATGAAAAGGCGCGCACTGCACTTTATTATATATATTTTTCAACTTCGCATTTATACTGGGGGTAGAAAGGGCACCACGCCTTAACAGAACAGAACACACCCTCCTAATTTTCCATCGTACCGCATGTGTGTCAAACCAAAATCTTTTTTAAAAAGGCGCGTACGGCACTGCAGCCCCGCTCGCTCGAGAGACGCAGCGCGCAGCTGGCAGGCGACTCGGGGAGCAGCAACAACAGCGACGACGAGTCCTCTG